ACTATAATATTCCTACTATTAAAAAATTCTTGCTCAAATTAGCGTGAATTTTCTTATATCACAACATATATATATATATATATATATATATACGAGCACATAAGAACAAAACAAACACTTGACAGACAGTACCTTCCACAAGACTTCGGGCATATCCAGCACCGGTTGGTCCACCGCCAACCGGAACAGCCCGCGCGCACGTTCCAAATCACCCAAAGCCGTCTCCAGCTCAGCGTATTTGATCCACGTTTGGCAATTGGCCGGATTAAACTCCAGGAACTTCTCGTACAGTACACGACAGCGGTCGAACTCACGCAGCTTCATCTCGAGCTCAATGTAGCCTGTGAATGGTGGTGTTAGAGGGTTTAGTAGGAGTGTCTTTATGACAATTGAAGTCTCGTGTAATTATAATTTTAGCTTTGAATATCTTATTCTTCGGACAATTGAAGTCTCATGTAATGATAATTTGAGCTTTAACAATTGAAGTCTCATGTAATGATAATTTGAGCTTTAGATATCGTATTTTTCGGTACAATTGAAGTCTCGTGTAATGATAATTTTAGCTTCAATATCTTATTCTCCGGACAATTGAAGTCTCATGTAATGATAATTTGAGCCTTAGATGTCCTTAGATCGTGTAATGGTGACTTTACCTTTGAACAGCTTATCCTTCGGACACCTGCCAATGGCCTGGCCCAGAATCTTTCGGGCCTGGGTCAGATTCTTCTGCCTGATCTCAAACCGTGCAAAGTGCAGCCAGATGCTCGCAAATGTGAACACCTAATGGAGCATGTATTGTGTGAGGTAGTAGTGGTTTAGACCTCGCAGATGTACTCGGGGTATTTGTATTAGTATTGCAGGGTATTTACATTAGTATTGCAGGGTATTTACATTAGTATTGCAGGGTATTTACATTGGTATTGCAGGGTATTTACATTAGTATTGCAGGGTATTTACATCGATATTGCAATCCCAAGTAGCACGTGGTTCAGTGGTAGACAGCCGACAGACCGTCAGAGAACTGACAACTCATCACTCACCCACAAGAGTATTGTCATAACCTAATAGTCGCGTGTGTATATACATTGCATATGTAATGCCCAACGGGTGTCCCACTGACATACCTTGTGTGGGATGATGCCCAGGCAGGCCCTGTACACCTCTCTGGCGCGTTCGTGGTCTTCTACATCCAGCTCTTCATAGACGGCGTAGTTGAGCCACAGGTAGATGTAGCGCTTCCACAGCCGTTTCTCCTGTCGTGGTGAGGGTTTGATTTGCACATGATCGGTTCAGCAGATATGACTACGTCGTGTATACACAATAGTAAGCAATAGCAAGCCTTGATTCCAAGCTCAAGTGCGGTATTGTTTCCTTGAGCGTGGGTGGTAAGCTGCGCCTCGGAAGGGCGTTCGTTCGACTCACACGCAGTAGACACGCCACGTGTACACCGCTACACAGGTGTGTGAGACAGGTTACAGCAACCGATTCCCTACACTACATCCCATACGGTGTGAAGCTTACTACGACACATAAATGCGGCCCATACACATGCTAGCTAGCTTTGCTGTACCGAACATACATACTACGGATGGGGCATGCTTGCTGTACCGAACATTCTACGGTTGGGGCATGCTGGCCATGGTATGGACATGAGGGCGATTGTGATCCTGGGGGTCTATATAGTTGCTCCGTGGTCTTACACAAGTCTGCATACCCGAGCGTACAATTTGCGACAATGCCATGTCAATTTACGACAATGCCATGTCAATTAACGACAATTCCATGTCAATTTACGACAATGCCGTGTCAATTTACGTCACAATTTAGAGCGCGAATCCTCGTCACCATACCATACCATACCTGGACAGGGGGTATATTGGCAATGGCTCGTTCATAGGTATCACGAGTTTTCTCCACATCACCGGTAGCCTCTTCCAGCCGTATCAAATCAAACCAAGTGTCGTAATTCGACGGGAATTGCTCGATTTTCTTCTCGTAACCTAACCTTCGCTTACTCATGAGCACGTTTTCCATCTCCGCTCTGTAATCAAGGACCATTGGTAAGTAAACGTATATAATAGAGTAACTAAACTAAACCAGTGAATGTACATAATAGAGCCACTAAACTGAACCGCACAATTTCACTCTGATGAGAAACTTACACGAACTATCGTCAAACACCCAACCCAGGGCCATTGAAAGTCGCTGTTGCTACATAGATGAATCACTTCATCTACGCACACTTCAATTTCAAAGGCAATAGCACACGGTGTACGTGTGTACCCATCGTATTCACACCCACAAACAAACCCCCCCACACCCCCACACGCAGACACACACAAACAACCCACTCCCCACACAGTTAGGCATATACAAGCACCATACCTGTCACCATGCTTCTTCTCAAACTGGTTGTATGCCTTAAACAAGTTCGACGCGGTTTCCTTGCCCATCTTCTCCAGTCCATATTTGTAGATGGCCCGTGCGCGTTCAAACTCCTTCGACGTCTCCTCAAACTTCGCGAAGGCTATGAAGAGCGTCTCAGACATGTGGTCATCTCCAAAGAACTGCATCGCATTCTCATAAACTTGACGGCATTTGGCTGGGTGCGCCAGAAAGAGAAGTCTTTGGTTAAAGGTCAGTTGAAATAAGGGTTTATATAATCTATTGCTGCTTGCTGTTGTTTTATACAGAGATGAATACGCGGTTTTGTAGGAGATAGTATCAACACCAGATTAAAGTCAGTCGTCAGGTGTGGCTTGCAGCCACAGAATACACGTGGGAGGGGAAAAGGCACAACTATTGCAGACACACAGAGAGAAGGGACACACGTACGCACACAGGATACACTATACATGTGAATGCTTCTTCTACATATAATATTATATATATATATATATATATATAGATATATATATAGATATATATATATAAATATAATATATATATATATATATATATTGTGTGTGAGTGTCTGTGTGTGTATGACTAAGAAACTTTGTCCCCCAATACCGCCATCTCCTACGTCCTCAGCACAATAAGTATCCCGAGTGATATATATATATATATATATACATAGATAGATAGATACACAGATAGATACATAGATACATAGATTCATATATACCTACATACATACATACATACATACATACATACATACATACACACACACACACATATATATATATATATATATATTATATACAGAATATACAGCCTCATGTGAATGTAAACAACGTAATCGCATTCATCCCGGCCTACGGGCGTATAGTAGTGTACATACTAAAACCAATCACAGCTACCTACCAAATTGTCTGTTCTGGGTCTCGAATTTGGCCCATTTGATCCAATTGCTGGGTTCAGGATGCACCACCACAAAGCGCTCGTAGACCGTGCGAGCGCTATCTACCTCGTCGTATCGCAGTTCCATATTGATGTACGATTGCCAGGCTTGCTCGGAAGGCTCCCATTTCATCCACCTTTCGAATACCTGTAGACAGGCAGAGGCCGGGGTGATACATGGTGTATGTATGTGATGTATGTGTGTGAGTGTATGTATGTGATGAATGTATGTGAGTGTATGTATGTCAGAATAGACAGAGATGTATATTCGTACGGCTGAAAGTGATGATAAACAGCGTGTGGCATATTGCAGCGATAGTATGTACAGAGTTACAATGGTAGTATACCATCACCCGCCTGTACATCCCCCCAGGAATCACAGAGGTCACGTGCGTGTTTAAGTATATATGTCTCAACTTGAAAAATGCGGAACACCCCATCTATCCGGGTCCCCCTAACTAGTTAATAAGAATTGATTACGAGCTAGACCCCCTCCCCCGCAAATGGGTTGGTTCAGCACGAAGGATCCTGTCTTTTTGACATGCAGTAGAGAACGCAGTGCACAGAAGTTGCTGCGACTTGTTGTGTGGAAACAAACGGCGTGTCGCTGAGCATACGGAAGGTGACAGCACGTACAAAGGGATGACGGAATATCTACTACACATATCTACTACTACAGTATGCATGGGCACAGAATAACGGCTACACACGCATGTATGCATGGGCACGACTGAAGATACCTCAAGTGCATGGACGTAGCTCGACGCAAACACGATGTGAGATATACGGACGCAGAAGTGCGTGTAGATACGCAGGCAAGACAGAGCATGCCTGCACCTTCACACATACAAACAGGTGCAGATATGTATTCCTTTGCACCTTCACACAGTACAAACAGGTGCAGATATGTATTCCCTTGCACCTTCACACAATACAAAAAGGTGCAGATATGTATTCCCTTGCACCTTCACACAGTACAAACAGGTGCAGATATGTATTCCCTTGCACCTTCAACAGTACAAACAGGTGCAGATATGTATTCCCTTGCACCTTCACACGGTACAAACAGGTGCAGATGTGTATTCCCTTGCACCTTCACACAGTACAAACAGGTGCAGATATGTATTTCCTTGCACCTTCACACTGTACCACACACTCACAGTGGTCCTAACACAACAGTACAATGGAATCGCAAACACTTACAAGCCAGCGGCTACGACGCCAAGTTTAAGCCAATGTATACGCGTACTTCTCATAACACTGACTGGGCCAGCCACGACTATACGGGCAAGAGTCAACGTCCCGTTAGGGGCATAAACAAACGGGTTGTCCCATTTTATTGTTCATCACTGTAGACAACAGCGAATAACCACGAGCGCTGGTAGAGACGATCACACATGAGCCGTACGGGAGACTGATAGTCTGCACGTGTATATGCCCTTATGTAAACACTCCTCTGGCTGCACCCAGAAAGGGTATCGTAGAATATCTGACCTAGTACTATCTCCGCAAACATCAACCGCACATAAACACACACAAACACACACACGCACACACCTGTCTGCATGCCGCTATATTGCCCAGCATCTCCTCCATGTACGCGTATTTGTACCAGAACTGATCCGCCCGGGGCAAAATTGTAACGGCCCTGTCCCACACATTCCGGGCGTGGTTCACGGCTCGATGTCTCATTTCCATCTCCGCATATTTCATCCACAGACCAATGTTGCGATGGTCATTGTCTATGGCACGCTCAAACACGGAACGTGCGCGTGCGAACTCCTGCTGAGACTCTTCGAATTTGGCATATTTGATCCAGTGACCAATGACCTGAGTGGTGAAGGGGATTGGGTGATATGAGTGTGATTGATGATTGTATGGATGTAAGCAGAGTCAACAACAAAGAAACATAGTCGCATTTAGTATTGTACAAGATAAGATGGATGTACTTACCGTTGGCAATATTACAGATTCAAAAAACAAAGCCATATTATTTAACACATTATTTAACAAGTTAGCTGCATGAAA